TTGTGCTGCACAGTATCATGAACACTAATGATACAATTTGAATCAGTATAGGAACAAGTTCTATCATAAACCATCCAGCTAGCAGAAAGGAACCAGGTAACGGGGTTAGAAGGGCATTCTGGCTTCGTTGCCCTAGGTCTCATGAAAATAGGGCTGGGTGAGCATTTCTTTTTTCTCCATTGTGTGTAAGACTTCACCAACATTCACAGTTTTTCTTCATACTCAAATCCAAAGGCTGTGTGGTAAAGGAGCCCTCCCCCCACAAAAAAAAATCAAATGTAAGAGAAACAGAAAGATTCCTATATCTGAGCCCTGACCAGTGCGTGCTTACCTCTTAGAATACCACTTTTGAATGCTTTCATTTTCACAGGTGTTAGCTGGCAGGATAGCCCAGTGGTTTAAGCCTCTGGCTGCAGAGCCAGAGGTTGGAAGTTCGAGTCCCCACGGTGCCTCCTGTGAGCAGAGCCAGCCTGGGTGACCTTGGGCAAGCTGCACAGTCCCAGAATGCCCCCAGAAAAAAAGGAAGGCTAAATTACTTCTGAAGGAAATCACCCCGAGTGCTCACTGGAAGGACAGATCCTGAAGCTGAGGCTCCAATGCTTTGGCCATCTCATGAGAAGAGAAGACTCCCTGGAAAAGACCCTGATGTTGCGAAAGTGTGAAGGCAAGAGGAGAAGGGAACAACAGAGGATGAGATGGTTGGACGTTGTCATCGAAGCGACCAACATGAGTTCGGCCAAACTCCGGGAGGCAGTGGAAGACAGGAGGGCTTGGTGTGCTCTGGTCTATGGGGTCACAAAGAGTCGGACACAACTTAACAACTAAACAACAAAAATTAATTCTGACTATTTTCTACCTGTGAAACCCTGAAAAAGGGTTGCCATAAGCCAGAACTGACTTGACAGCAAATGACTATATATTAAGTGATAAATTAGGTTCCCACCTCCCCTCCCCTGAGGCTCCCCATTTTAACACAAAAGACCAGGGTGCAAAACATCCCCACCTCCATGCTGGGAATAAGTGCAACTAGTCAATTTGGCTAAATCAAATTTGGAGAGAATTTTGTTTCAGTTTATTCCTCAAGAATTTAAGCATTTGGAGTGGAAGGAACTTAGGGTTTCAAACTGCACAAGTGTGGTGCCAAACACATACGCAAAAGAAAACTGACAGATTTTTGTTTGCCATACGTTAGGATAACAGGATCTTTGTCTCAATTTTAGAATTTATTCTGAAATCTACCAAACTTGGAGAGATGGGTGCGATTTGATTCCGAAAGGCAACATCCATTAAAAAGTAACCAAAGTTTTTTTATTATTATTATTATTAGCAACAGCAACAACAAAAGGCCATCATGGAAATAACAACCATTCGCTCAGTAACAAAGTGATCGCCGCGTTGAAATACGTTACGAGATCAAGAGTCAAGAAAACAGGTTGACAGCACCAAGTCAGAGTGACTCTGAGAATCAGGAGGATTCCCTTAGAATGGACAGTGCATAGTCAGAAGCTGGAGGAAAACTACACTTATACAGAAGAGCAGGGCTTGTACTGCTGCCAACGTCTGTGATGACATTCATAACAAACATATTATGCAATATTTATATGGCAGTAGTTGTACATCTTAGGAGAAAGAACCTATGCTCTGTCGCCTCATTTCTATAGTAACGAGATCATTCTTGATACAGCAACATCAGTGCACACGATGCTGATCTCTACCATTGAGATGGTTTTTATTGTCTTTCTAAGGAATTGTCTATAACAGGCATAAAATACATTGGCACTCTTCAGTATTCAATATTTCAGTCCATGCATCTGCCTACATTACCTGGGTAATGACTTGCAATATCACTTATTTATTATGATTTCATCTCACCTGACTTTCAGAGAATCTCAAGTTGTGTACACAATATTATCCTACCACAACCTCACTACAATCCTGTGAGGTAGTTTGGGCTGAGAGAATTTGACTTGCCCAAGATCACTCAATGGCCTTAGTGGCTGAGTTGGGATTCAAACCTAGATGATGTGGTGCTAGTTTTTCAGTAGGCCAAGCTCAGCTACTTCCTTCCTTCATTTCTATGGAGAGCCTTTATCTGCATCTTCACTGAACTGAACAGGGGCTGCTTGTCTCCAAAGGAGTGTTTAGGAGTGTTGTGTACACCCTGGAGTTTTGCATGGGTGGTCTGGATTAGGGCCTTGATTTGCGGCATTTTTCTTGGGAGTACAGCTAGCTGTTATTTCATCTGCATGATGGTACTATGAGATGCGGTCAATACAAGTTGCCTTCTTCCAGGGATTAGAAATCAAATAATCAAATAAAACAAGGTGTGTATCGCTGAAAGGTATACAAGGATAGTAAAGTGGCAAATATTGTTTACGTTGTCTTTTCCCTGACTTGCTTCCTTCATGAGAACAGTTCAACAGATGCAGAATTGAATCCAGGGCACATTAAGGGAGGCTCAAGGTGTTCATGAGACTACGTCAACACACAGTATGATTTGAAACGGCCGAATAGGGAAAGTGAAATACACAGAAACCCGATCTTTCCTGTGCTCATCAACTGGTGCCAGTCAACACCACATGACCCCAACAAAGGAAGTAGCCATTTTGGGTCTCGGAGGCTTGCAGGCCCATCCCCACATATAACACATTGGTAGTCAAGAGACGTTGAAGGATTCCACCCTGCTCTGTTAGCTTTGTAATGGCCTCAGAATCAGTCTTTGGGGTTAAATACGGTAGTCAAAAGATTTCACACACAAGAATCAGCTTAGTGCCTGATGCTGGACCACAAAAGCACCAGAGGCAAAGAAACAAAAGAGAACTGGACATTTCAATGGAAGTCGAGCACAGTTCTGGGTTTCAGGTGGTTTTTGCACATGTAAAACGAATATACCTCATCATTTTATAGGATCACATGTAAAATGAATCTACCTGCGGCACGAATTCATTCCTTGTGGGGAAAAATGTGCTCTCTTTCAAGTTCTGTCCTGCATGAAGCAATTGTGCACCATCACGATGGGAGAGGCTCAAAGGCACTGTTAGGGTCACTGGGGGGGAAATGCTCTCGAGAAGGGCCCACGGACTTGTTCTGAAGCAATAGTTGTTTCACGCCGCCATTTTTTCAGATGGATAAATGACGTTCAGTGCAGCTTTTGCCAGTTTGTTGCTTTTCAGACAGGCAGTATGACAAAACCCATCATTCACAGACAGCAGCTGAGATGGGAGTTGTAGTATAACACAACTAGTAAGTCCCACATTAGGGGAGAATAGGGTTTTTTCCCCTCTTTTTTTGTTTGTTTCAATGGGCTTTGGTTTGGGCAGGTTGAACCAGCCTCAACACAAATGCCTCAACACGTCCTCAAAGCACATTGCAGCCGATCCTCAAAAAGCCACAGAGAGTTTCAGAACGAAGCTTAGAAAAGTTACTCTTTTGGACTGAAGCTCTCCACTGCTTCCAGCCCATATGCAAGCTATAGGATTCTGGGAGCCCCCCAAAAAAGTTTTCCAACTTCTGATTCCATCGGTGACACTCTGAGAGTAATAATACTGAGAAGCATCTAAATGTTCATGAGGACAGCCAAAATCTACTAGCCAAAAAATTAACTTCCAAGACATCAAATGATTCTCATGTGAACAGAGTCTAATCCAGAACCTGGATGAACACTGCACCACAGTCCTGTCCTTTGCAACTCACGTACATGACCCAACAGGTGTCCATTCTGCACATATATGTTGTGTGGTGGATGCCCCCCCCCCGTGCTCTGTGGACTTGAGGCGACATTATACTGGCCAGACAGTTCCCGGTGCCATTAAGTGGTGAACTGCTCCTAGCCACCAGTTTAGCAGGAAAGGTTTTGCCTCTAAAGTTAATGGCTGATACACATTCTTAAAATGATTTTTTTAAATAAAATATGTTCTGAATCAACCTTTAGGATCCAAAAAAAGAAAAAAGGAAGATGATTTTGATTTATCTCCACTTTGGTACTTATTACAGCAGTCCTTTCAAAATAAAGTGGAACTCCTACAATGGAGAGTGAGACGAATTAATGTCTTTCCCCCTTTTGGCCACTTTGTACAATCCACCGAGGAGAGAGTAAACCACCCCATAAAGCCTATCGCTTGATTTAACTGGCTTCCACTGATGAAAGCTCTTACACTTAGCAGGTGATCTATTACCATAAATTTCAGCCTAGCTGTCACTTAGCTACAGTTATCACTGGATAAAAACACTCACGACGGAAAAAGGTTGAGGTAGGAAGCGAATGGATACATCACTGGGGGCTTCTACATATAAAAAGTCCCTCTAAAACCCAAATTGTCAGTGCCAATTATGTGCTGAAGGACCATCTCTAGCTTTCCAGGTAGTGGAATTCTACAGTGAATCATTAGCTTTTCTTTATCATAAACACCGAAGGACACAGGTATTCTGCGCTTTTCAGAGTAAGAGATGGTCTCTGTAGGTAACACCAATCTTAGCTACTCTGTTTTGGAGGCTCATGGGCTTTATAAATAAATGGTGGTTCTCAACAGGATTATTTAGGTCCATGGCTAGGCTCCATTTAGCCTGTACCTATATGGAAGTGGCATCTCTTTGAATTCTCACCTTCAAAGTACAATTTTTGGAGTTGTAGGCCTTAAGGGTGTCTCAGCAGCTGTGTATGCCAGGCTGGGGAATGTGTCACCCTCCAGACATTGTTGGTTTTGGTTTTTAATGAGAAATATATACATATATAGATTTTTCAATGGAGCCACTTAATTACTGGTCTGTCATGATGAACACCGGATTCCATAAGGCAACAGTTTCATCAAAGGTTTTACACTTTCTCTTCTACTAGATTACTGATTGGATGACTAGAGCTAATGTACGGAGGAGCCTCGTGGCACAGTGGCTAAACTGCAGTACTGCAGCCAAAACTCTGCTCATGACCCAGGTTCAATCCCAGGTAGCTGGCTCGAGGTTCACTCAGCCTTCCGAGGTTGGTAAATTGAGTATCTAGCTCTTCGGGGGGGGGGGCAATGTGTAGCCTGCATAATTATATTTCAAACCACTCAGAGAGTGCTTTAAACAGTATGGGGTGATCTATAAGCTTTACTTTGCTTTGGGAGCAACATATGGAGGGGTGCCTGAACCCTGGCCCTAGACTTATTTGGTACTTATTGCAGCATTTCTATGCGAGGCCAGAGTGGGAGATACCTTCAGTGCTATTAAGTCAAATAAACAGGACTACAATTCTGCATGGTTCAAGGAGAGGTCGTTCCATGTCTCCTTGCTTTCATCGGAACTGCAGAACATTTCACGTCCACTCAAGTAGGCTGATGTTCCAACCTAGATAAACCCACATACAGTAAGTTGGCACCAAGGTGGGCCTTATGACAAGCGCACACCTTGCTACAGCCAGCAGTCTGAAAGAAAGTAAAAATCTGGTGGGAAGGTTGATCTTCCACCCACAAAAGTCCTGTTGTGCTTTTCTCCTAGCTCCACTGGAGCCTCCTTTGCATGTGGCACCTTCTGGTTTCTAACTAACTGATCAAGGCTGGCAGTGAGAAGATAGCCAAGGGAGAGCGGAGCCAATTTGGGACCCCTAGAAGAATGGAATGCTGCTAAGAGGTGATCCAGAAGAGGTGATTCAGTGCTTCCCTGTTTTGGCAGCCTCACACGATTCTGGTTCCAGTGAGGTAGCTCCGTTGTGGAGTGGACGCTTGCCAAGATGCGCCGCTTGTACACCGCCCAGGCAAGGAAAAACAGATGGGTGTCAATCTCCCCTTCTCTCACATGATTGCTATAAAAATACCAGGATGGTGTTTTTTTTTAAAGTATAGTTCTTTTTTCCCTTTTTTAAAACAATTTATAAAAAAGATATGACCACCCCACCCCAAATATGTGTTCAGGCTATTAAACTTCTGTTCCATCATGTAAATTGTTGTGAACTTTCACCTCCAAGTTCACTTGCTTGACCTTTGCCCCGCTGACCTTGTAGGCACTCTCCTTTTCGTAGAAAACGTTCAAGTTCTTCACAGTGCAATATTGTCTGTTGACGTTCTTTTCCACCCTCTCTGTGCTTTTCTTGGCCGCCTCCACTTTGGTGTTGAGGGGATACACCTCCATGAAGTCTTTGGCCGTCGCCATTTTCTTTTTCCGGTGCTTCCGGCACTTTCTGGTCACAAAGCAAGTGACCAAGAGCATGAGAAACAGAAGCATGACAGCCGCCAAGGCGCTCCCAATCGAAGCCCCCATCTGTGACAGAGAGGCCGCGGTGACAGCCTCGTCCTGATCTAAGCTGAGAGGCTTCATATTTGTGCCATTTTTGACCTGGTCGCCTTCGTTGTCATAGATCAAGGAGTCGTCCAGCATCGCTCCAACCTTGTGGTCTGCAAGATCACGGCGGCTGCGTGTCAGCTGGTGTAGAAGCGAACGGGGTACCCGAGGTCCTGCAATGGTCTCGGGGCCGATAACATAGATCACCTGAAGGTACCACTGGTGTCCAGCTTCCACCTATTCAAAAAAAAGGTTTAAAAAAACACAATGACTTGAGTCACTACTTCAAATTTTTGAAAAGTTGGGTGAATTAGATTAGGTGACAAACCTTATTTCTCAGGCCCAAGGGAGCTGATAGGCTGAAATCCAGTAGTACATCACAACTACAATACAGAGGACTTGACTCACCCAGTCCCCACTGATTCAAATGGGCCTCCTCTAATTGCGACTTGCTATTGAATTTCAGCCATGGAACTTACTTATCCAAGATATTATAGGTACAGTGGTGCCTCGCATTACGATATTAATTCGTTCCAGCGAAATCGCTGTAGAACGAAAACATCGTAAAGCAAAATTTAAAAGCCCATAGAAATGCATTAAAACCTGTTCCAATGGGCTTAAAACTCACCGTCCAGCGAAGATCCTCCTGTCTTGCGTGGAATCCATCCCTAAACACAGCGGGAGCTATTTTATTTACCCGGTGGCCATTTTGAAACCGCCAATCAGCTGTTGGCAAATTGTCCCCGAAGCAGGGAACCGATCATCACAAAGCAGGGAACCGATCATCACAAAGCAAAATTCCCCCATAGGAAACATCGTTTTGCGATCACAAAAAGTTCATCGTAATGCAATTTTGCTGTTAAACGAAGAGATCGTAATGCGAGGCACCACTGTACCATCTTTCAATCATATTCCCAGGGTAATTTAGCAAGAAGAATAAAACAACTAAAACAAGTTCCATAAAAAGGAAGAAAAGAAAACACGAAAGACCACAAAAGAATATAAGGTTAAAATTACATCTAAAATATCTGGGGAAATAAAAATGAAACAAAACAAGGACAGTGAAAGGTGAACCTCTCTGAGGAATGTATCCCACAATTCAGGTATTACTGCCACAATGGTCTCTTCTCCCCTAATAGTCACCTACCTTAGAAGAGAGCCCTTTTAATAAAGATTTCAATATATGGATAAATGGCTAAACTTCTGGAAGTACCCTGGACTGTAAGCCATGAAGAACATATTTTATTACATTCAGTACCAGCCACATGATACACATTGTTGTAGGCTTTTCGGGCTGTTTGGCTGTGTTATTAAGGAAGAAAAACCTTAAGAACACGGCCAAACTGCCCGAAAAACCTGCAACAATCATCGGCTCCTGGCCATGAACGCCTTCGAGAATACACCGAGGGGAAACATGACAGCAATTTTCCAATATCTAAAGGGTTGCCACAGGGAAGACGGCATCAATTTATTCTCCATTGCACCTGAGGGTAGGATAAGAACCAATGGACCTGGAAATAAGGAGGAATTTCCTGATGGGGAGAACCATCCAGCAGTGGATCAGCTGATGTTGTGGGTGGTGCCCCATTGCTGAAGGATTTCAAGAAAAGATTGGACAGCCATCTGTCCAGGATGGTATGAGGTCCGGGATAGGATGAGGTCTCCTGCTTTCTGGTTGGACCAGAAGTATCATCACAACACGCAGTGCTATCTGGCAATCTAGAAGTCACATGATGCATTTACCACCTTTTCCTAAGAAGTCATTGAAGACTGGCCTACACTACAGTAGCCAAACCTAAAGGTTACTAGAGCAGATCAGGGTAACCCTGTGCCTGGACAGACTTGGAGCTGTTAACAGCACTTCATTCTCCAAGAAGCGTTTTTGTGATAATGATGGGAAAAGGAGCAGCCCAAGCTATAAACTGTTGGGACACAATGAATACAGTACAGGAATACAGCTCCATTGGGCAAAAGAACATGTCCACAACACTCTGTCAAGGTTCGAAATTTTGTGTGTATGGAGTGCTAAAATAATTGGGGGGAGTGTAAAAAACAGTAACTCTGAAAATGTACCCTGCGTCCAAGAAAGTGGAGTTTGAACCAATGTGTGCTAAAAGTCACTACAAAACAATCAGCTAATTCTCCGTCCCTATCACAGGGAAAGCAACATCAATGCAGAATAACATTGCCTTATAAATGGCAGTTTGCTATCTCTGAAATTGCTAAGAAAGCTGGTTGGCAGGTTGGCAAAAGCAGTGTAAATTCTCATGGAAACTCAATAAGATGCATTAGATAGGGTAGCAGTTTGTTATACCAGTGAATTTCAACTGTTGACAATTGGAAGGATAAACAAAACGTTTCAAAAGGGTATTAAAACCATCCAAAATGACAGCTTAGGCAAGGAGCAAAGGATGAGAGGAGATCCCCTTTTACAGGCGAGGAGACCCTGCCGGGCTAAGGGGCAATTTTTTAATAACAGTATGGAAATATACTTGATGTGATTATGTAACTGTTTTTCCTTGATAATGAAGATACTAATCTAGATGTGTGGCTTGGCTGAGAATTTTTAAACCTAGTGACTATTCTTTTGTACAACTTGGTTAAGTCCTTACTGTTTCCTTTTGAAGCACTTTATTAAGTTGTCACAGCTAAATTTCTGAAAGAGCATGTTAAGTTTTTATAGTCACAATGTTTGACTACTAAATAGATAGAAACCCTATTTCTGCTTGCATATGCTTGTTAAATAAAAGAGAAAAGAGAGATTCTCTAGGCCGTTAGTTCATCTACTTTCCACGTACCTTATAGAGTGCATCTACTTTCATGATGAATCCATCCACTCCAGGCATGTTGCTGACCAGGTGAAAATCAGGCCGATCTGAGGCAAAGCAGGCATCAAAAGGTACGTCATGGAAATATTTGTCAGTCACTTCTGGTTGATTCCGGTCCTGCAAGGTCAAGAAAGTAGGCCATGATTACGAATGAGAAAGAGTTTGGCTGGAGTCAAGAATCTCTGCAAGAATGGCCATTTCGCACTGCGAGACAACGGCAATCTTGCCTTCGAAACTCTGAGAAGTCTGCAGTGCATTTCTGATAAATAAAATATGCACAAAACCACACACACACATTTAAAAAAATGCAAACTGGTGAAAAAGGCACACAAACATGCTTTACTTAATGAAAGAGTATGCAAGATGCACACATTATGGAAAAGGCATGCAAAATATGTGCATTAAAACCAATGCATACAAAATTTGTACATACAGTGGTGCTTTGCAAGACGAATTTAATTCATTCCACGAGAAGCACCGTCTTGCAAAAAAATAGTCTTGTGAAAAGCAGCTTCCCATACGAATGCATTGCAATGCATTCCTATGGGAACCTCGCAAGACGAATGAAATTTTTCGTCTTGCGAGGCATTGGTCTCAGGGGAAAAAACGTCTTGCGAAGCACAGCCAAAGAAGAAGCTGTCTTGTGAGACACCATAGCAATTGCAAAAACCAATCGTCTTGTGGATTTTTTGTCCCATTTTGTCCCAGGAATTAAAAGCAACAGGCATTCGTCTTGTGAGGCATCAATGTATTTCCATGTAGGAGTTAAAAGCAAAGTTTTGTAACCTGGTGCAGACAAAAAGCAGGATGAACACGCAGGTATAATTTAGCTGTAGATTCTGAGGAGTTCGCCTCTTTTAACATCTGGAATCATCTCCTGATGGATGTAGCTGGCCATCCCATACCTGTACCCAATCTGGGATGACATCCCCCCAAACCATACGTCAGAAAGATACATAAAACTGGTTTGCCAGAGTAAGTTGTCCAAATGACCTCTCCATCCTTTCTGTCACAGTGGTTGAAAAACAGAAAGATAGACACAAATGATGGTTATTTTTCAGCATTTCCTGGGGCCAGTTGGACTAGATGACCTTTGAGATCTCTTCCAATCTTACAACTCTATTAGTCAACGACCCTCAAATTATTGCATGGAAAATTCTCCTCAGTTTCATCCTGCCAAATGCGTGGTGCAAAGCTTGGCCATTTCCACCCCTCTAGGGCAGTGGTCCCCAACCTTGGGCCTCCAGATGCTCTTGGACTACAACTCCCAAAAGTCTTCACCACCACCTCTGCTGGCCAGGATTTCTGGGAGATGAAGTCCAAGAACATCTGGAGAACATCCCCAAGGTTGGGACCACTGGTCTAGGGGAGTCACAGCTCAAAGCTTCCCTCAAGGATGCAGGAGTTATATTATTTACCAGCAGGAGGAAACGATGCTTCAGGTACTTGCTGGGCTGGATGCAGCCATATTGGGGTCCTTCGTTATAGATGGTTCCAGTTGGGTCAAAGAAAGGCACGTAGCCATCCTTCCCAGTGCAGAGGTAGACCTTCTCCAGCTGCAGCTTGTAGGCTGAATTAAGGTTTTGTTCAGGATTCCACATGACTCGTCCATACAGGATTTGACCTGAACAAAGGGAATATGCAGTTATCAGGATTATTAAGATCAGGTGGCAGCTGGCCTCTGGAAATGGCCTAGAAGCTTCAATTAGCATGGAATATAATAGCTGCTAGAAGTGTATAGATCCTGAAGCTGAGGCCTCAATACTTTGGCCATCTCATGAGAAAAGAAGACTCCCTAGAAAAGACCCTGATGTTGGGAAAGTGTGATGGCAAGAGGAGAAGGGGACGGCAGAGGACGAGATGATTGGACAGTGTCACTGAAGTGACCAACATGAATTTGACAGAACTTCGGGAGGGAGTGGAAGACAGGAGGGCCTGGCGTGCTCTGGTCCATGGGGTCACAAAGAATCGGACACAACTTAATGCCCATTCTCTTAACAAAACAAAAAGAAGTGTAGCTGGTTTGCCTTAATAGAAGCAATTTATGAATGAGCTACACTGGGTTTATGCACAGTTGGTGACTTTCGGGAGAATTTTCCTGCCACACCCTGAGCTTGGGAAAATTCTTGGTGTCCAAAAAGGTAATTTTCTCAAATTCTGATCCCAGCACTAGACCTGTATTTTGGAAAGGAAATGCATTCTACTAAATTATAATCTGAAAAATTCCTCCCTCTCTCTCTTCAGTATCAGTTGTGTGGTGCAAAGCTTGTCCATATCCATTCCGAAAGTCTCTGTGGGAGTCACGTTATCCTGGCTCAATGTCTTTTTGCAGTGGGATATTGAAATACCACCATGACACAATATCCCATTCCAACAAGGGGATCAAAACACACCTTTTGAGAAAGCACCTTTGTAGTCCATCTCTGCCATTGACATTTCTGATTTCGTTGGGTCCATGAGAAACACTTTCTCATTATTGCAGAGCTGAAATTCAGTGTTCAGAGAATACACGACGGGAACTGGACGGTTAGTTTGCTGAAAGGCAATTGGGATCAAAAATCTAAATGGGGGAAGAAAAGGAATAAGTTATTGATAAAGCAATATCACAGTTAGAACAGATATTGTCCCATGTATCTCCCCCCACCCCCCAGACTAGCGTCATGAAATTCCACATTGGTTCACATTAGCTTGGTATTTGGCAACCCAATATTAAACAATTTGAGTCTTAGGTTTTGGTCATGAGCCCATTCTCCAGATCTCAAGACATTCAGTCATTTCCACAGGGCAGCGCCATATTGTGGGCTTCATTCTCATGGCTTCAGATCATGCCATTTAGATATTGCCCAGAATAACCATTGTGCTTTTCCTGCTCTTGAATACTACAGACCTAGTTTGTTTGCTTTTTGGTTCATGGCTTCATCTCTGCATTTTCTGTCTAACGCACATCAGGATTTGGCAGCTCTCAAAAGCTCCACCTTGTGACTTCACTAGTGCCTTCTGCTAGGTCTGACGTTCTGGCCCATATCTCAGGGAATGAGATGCTGCCGAATTGGCAAACCCAGTTGTGTGGCACCTTCCTTTCTACAAGATGGTGTGCAAAAATAGGTGGTTATTACTGTTATCTGCCATCAAATCATTTCCAGCTTATGGTGGCCCTGTGAATTAATGACCTCTACAAGGTTCCGGAGGAGACTCTTGAGAGTCCTCTGGACTGCAAAGAGAACAAATCAATCCGTTCTGAAGGAAATCAACTCTGAGTGCTCCCTGGAAGGACAGATGCTGAAGATGAGGCTCCAGTCCTTTGGCCATCTCATGAGAAGAGAAGACTCCCTGGAAAAGATCCTGGTGTTGGGAAAGTGTGAGAGCAAGAGGAGAAGGGGATGACAGAGGACAAGATGGCTGGACAGTGTCACTGGAGTGACCAACTTGAATTTGACCCAACTCTGGGAAGCGGTGGAAGACAGGAGGGCCTGGCGTGCTCTGGTCCATGGGGTCATGAAGAGCTGGACACAACTTAACGACTAAACAAAAACAAGGTTCTAAACCTAATTCACGTCTTGACTCAAAGCTGAGGCTTCCTTCTCATGTTAGGTCTTCCTCTCCTCCTAGCACTTTATCCTTCGCCTAGTCTTATGATCTTTCCCACGAGTCTTGTTTTCTTATGATATGTTCAAACTATGATAGCTTTGATCATTTTAGTGTCTGGTGACAGCCCAAGCACAATTTGATCTATAAACCATTTATCTGTCATTCTATCTTTTTACATAAATAGACCTTAAGAACGACACCGTTTGAGGATATTGCCAATGACAAAGAATATGCTTTGAAATATTTTATTACATTCAGTACCAGCCACGTTGATACACATTGTTCGGTGCTGGCAAAAGAATCTGTGTTGGCATCATAAGAAAAGAATTAGAAAACATCTCTGTAATATTAAGTATATATGAACAGGTACTTGCTGGTACCGCGCTTAATAAAGAAAGGGCATACAGAAATTAAATTCTGAACACTTGACAGAACAGATGGGAATATGGATAAAATCCCTCTAGAAAAAAAGGATGGACTGGACCTTAAAATTAAAAATGGTAAACCCAAAGGGGCCGCAGGGAGGAAATTCATATCTTTATCTCCTTTGACATACTGCAAAAAGATTCAATCCAGCCTTTTTAAAAAAATTAATTTTAATTTAATTTAATTTTTTTTTCTACTGGCACTCCCTTAAGTCTTTCTGAACAGATAAGGATAATGTTAAGTCTTTCCAGATGTTAACTTCTGGGTAAAAGATATTAAGTATAGCTTCAAACTATCAGGTCCCTGAACATTTATTGTACTGATTAAATTGGAATTTTAAACTGTAAATGAGTTTATATAAGTCTTAAGGCAGTAGAACTACAGTGGTGCCTCGCATAGCGACAAAGCGATTTCGTCAGTATGCGATTTTTAATAGCCCATAGGAATGCATTGAAACCCTTCAATGCGTTCCTATGGGCTTCAGACTCACCTTTAAATGAAAATCCTCCATAGGGCGGCCATTTTCGCTGCCCGGTAAGCGAGGAATCAGTCCCAAAAAACAGTGGGTGGCCATTTTTTTACCCGGTGGCCATTTTGGAACCGCCAATCAGCTGTTAAAAAATCATCGCTATGCCTTGATCGGTAAGCGAAACAGGGTACCGATCATCACAAAGTGATTTTTGCCCATTTAAAACATTGCAATGCAATCGCTTTTGCGATCGCAAAATCTTCATCACTATGTGATTTCGTTGTTAAATGGGGCACCCGTTAAGCGAGGCACCACTGTATTGTAAATGTGCAGATCTCTCTCTCTTTCTCTGAATGCTTCTTCTTCGTTTATACAGGGCACCGTAACTGAAGCGAGCATAAGAGAAATGTTTCCTTACTTTTCGGGCGCATGTGCGGTGCAGGGCAAAGGCTTGTCCCCTGGATCTACCCATGACTGGGTGGGCTGCACGGTACATGGGATTAAGTAGATGGTGTATTCTCCAGAGTAGTCCTTCCTAGAAATGGAGAAGTACCTTAATTACTGTATTGATTTGAGAGAGTGTTTTATACCCTTAGGACTTTTGCTCCTGGCAGAAAACAGCTGTTAGTCTGAGCCGAAAGCTGGCTGTGTCGAAAACAAACATAGGAACGGAACAGGCTTCCGGGTCAAGAGCTAATCATGACTGGGAGGTCCTGTAATGTCAACTGGTTTCAATTCTTGTTCATTGTCCTTTGGTCATAAACAAAGAATTTAAATTCTATGATCTGTGACCTTCATTACTTTGAGAACCTAGTCCAGGATGTATCACTTGACCGGGAATGGGCCAAGTTTGGTCTTCCAGATGTTGCTCAATGGCAAATACTAGTGCCCCTCACCATAAATTAGGCTAGCTACAGCTGATGGAAGCAACATCTGGAAGGATTCACTATGCCATCCCGATATAGCCAGTTCCAAAGTAGACAGGGGAGTACAGCTGGAAAGATAGTCTCATCAAGAGGGAATTGCATACTGACTTTCTCAGAGAGGAGGAAAGAAGAGGTGACCCCCCCTCCCAACTCTCTCTCTCCATAATCTGCTCCCTTCCACAGACATACTCTGATGATTCTGCACGGCTTGAAAAAGAAGTTGGCTTATTGGCACTAAGCCAACCCTAGCACCCACCACGCTCTATCATAGCACCCTTCTTATGTCAGAAGACATTAAGAGAACCTCCCTAAAGAGATTATCTGTTGCCGGAGCTATCCAAGACTGGAGATCCCTCTGAGAGAAGTTGCATAAGTTGCATCTTGCATTGCAGCTTCTACAGAGCAGAGGGTTGGACAGGATGACTCTTCAAACTTCTTCAGCTCTAAGATTTAGTGAAAGGAGATTTGTTTCCATACCAGCCCTTGTTTTACTCATTTGTTTTGACCTCTGTCATTTTTTCAAACAAAAATTTGCATCCAATTCCCAATAGCAATCAAAACCCATCGAGTTTCACCACTTTCTACAATATCCTAGCACTATGCATATCCTAATCCACTATCCTTCCACCCCGTTCCCCCCCCCATCAGATCTACATTATTCTGCTCAAATGATTGTGTGATTCTATTCTTTCCCCACAGACCAAACAACCTGGACTCCCTTGAACAGGGCTTTCAAGGGAAAGACGTTCCTTCTTACCTACTGTAGGAACTAGTTGCTCTCCAGAGCTGATAAGGAGAATCAAAGGTCTGACCGCTCCATAAAAGCTGCAGGTCAAACTCAATCCCTCCCAGGTGATCCGGGGTCATTATGAAAGATTTTGCATCGGGGAGAGTGTGATGCTCCATTACAAACTGTCCTGTGCAGATGAGAAACATGTGTGTTCACAGTAAGAACAGCATTCACACATATGCAGACAAGTTTACAGTACTTTACAGCTTGATGCTGGGAGGAGGATGCTGATAGCTGGAGTCCAAAAGAGCCAGATTTCCAAGCACCAGTTTAAAATAACTCAGTAATAACCTACAGCAGCCCTGCCCTGCCTAGAAGGATTTGTAGTCCAAATCATTAAACTGTCCAAATCTTGGTTCAGATGACTTTACACAGGTCATCCCAGCAATGCTCGCATCTGTTACTCAAGAGAGGTGTAGACTCTCTAAATGGGAAGGGGTTGAGTACCACCTAACCAGAATCCAGGCTGCCAGCAATGGTTTCTGATGAAGACAGAAGTATCTCCAGAAGACCAACTCCTTTCTAGATCTATTATGGACACAAACAGAAGGCTGATACAATCTGGCCTAAGATTTACCCGGCTGTGCCACACCCATCTCCTGTGTTGCTAAGCCTCTCCTCTAAGGGGGGGGGCAAAGGAATGTTGGAATATTGGCCCCTGGACTGCAAGGACGAAGAACAGAAGGAGCTGTAGTTCCATGGTGGAATACACACTTTGCAAGCAAAAAGTCCTTGGTTCAAGCCCTGCATCTCCAGGTAGGTCTAGGAAAGGACTGTCCATGAAACCCCGGAGAGTTGCTGTCAGTGGCAGTCAACAGTACAGTGGTGCCTCACTTGACGACATTAATTCGTTCCAGCGAAATCACTGTAGAGCGAAAATGTCATCAAACGAAATAAAAAACCCCATTGAAATGCATTAAAAGCAGGTTAATTCATTCCAATGGGCGAAATACCTGCTCATCCAGCGAAGATCCTCCATACGGCGGCCATTTTCGGGTGCCTGTCTTGCAAAAAATGGCTCCTAAAAACAGCGGGGAGCCATTTTGAGCAGCCGGCGGCCATTTTGAAAACTCAACAATCAGCTGTTTTGATCGTCGTAATGCAAAGAATCGGTTCCAGAAGCAAGAACTAATCATCGCAAAGCGAAAAACCCCTATTAAAACATCATTTTGCGACCACAAAAACATTGTTGTGACGCGGATTCATCATTATACGGGGTAATCGTTAAGCGGGGCACAACTGTACTAAGCTAGATGCACTACCGTTTTGGCTCAATGTAACACAGCTTCCTGTGTTCCGACATCCCACAATGAAAGTCATTGTACCTCTTTCCATTTTAATACACTAGCAGGATGAAGGCAGAATTGCTCCCATACTGGAAATGATCACTTCATATTCCTTACTTCCAGGACTTAGACTAAGCCAAGGCTCATAAACCTCCCATGAATAGCAGGACTGCAACCTACGACAAGTGAAGGATGAGTGAAAAGGAATCTTTCCTCCAACAGCTGAAATGCAACAGTCTGCATCTGTCCACGTCAGGACTTGGGACAAAGGCCAGCGCATCTGCGACAGAAAGCACAACCTTCTCCCAAACAGGTTTTCAGGCACCGTGTTTTTGCTGGTTACCTCTGAATTTGGCATGAGTCTTGAACTCAGTGACCAGCCGGCCATCCTCTCTGATGTAGATCCTGATGATCTGCAGCCTAGCAGAAAGGACGCTGTCAGTCTGAATACCTGCAGGAGAGAACAAAGGCAAGAAATGGGGGAGAAGGAATGGATTTTGGACCAGTCCTCTTGATACACAGCGAAGCTGGATAGAAAGAGCCATGGCAACGAAACCCAGCTTTACACTTGCAACGCAAATCCTCTATTTAGCAGGAGGATTCCTCCTTCCACTTTGCCATTTGTGAGGCTAGCGAGGTCGGCTTATTTATTTATTTAAGCCATAATCATCTTAAACCCACTTACTAATGAGAAAGGCACACTGAAGACAGTGACTGATCAAATATGCATTTTAAGGCATGACTAGTTTACTAGGCTTATATTGCACAGTGTGAAAAAAGTTCCGTTTTGGACAACAGCTTCCAGAATCCCCCAGACCAACGGCCCCATTCTAAAAGCATTAGTCCAAACAAGTAATGCTTCTATGCTCTGTCGGCCACATGTATCCTGATTGCCACAGGAGAAGGAATGGATTTTGGACCAGTCCTCCTGATCCACAACGAAGCTGCAACCAGAAGAGAAAGAGCCATGGCAATGAAACTCAGCTTTACACTTGCAATGCAAATCCTCTGTTTAGTGGGAGATTTCCTCCTTCCAAAGGTTGTTGTGGGTTTTTCGGGCTTCTTGGCCATGTTCTGAAAGTGGTTCTTCCTAACGTTTCGCCAGTCTCTGTGGCCGGCATCTTCAGAGGACAGCAAACTGTGCTCTGGGTAGGCTTGAGAGTGGGTGGAGGATTTATGGCTGTGAGAAGGCTAGTTTGTAAGGTAGGCTATTGTCCTAATCAGGAGATGGTTGATTAATGTGTTTTGTTGTGGATGTATTGTTTTGATAAGGAGGGGAGATTATCTATCCCTGTAGTTGATGGGTGTCATTAGCTGGTCTTTTGTGTGCAGTAATCCCCTGACCTTGTGGCTGGGTGGAGTTCGTTGACCTTTTGCACTCTGTGTTTTTGAGAGCTGGGAGCCAGGTTTTGTTGAGTTTCAGACATTCCTCCTTCCAGTTGAAGTTTTGTTGATGCTTCACGAATACATTCCTCTTTCCACTTTGCCATTTGTGAGGCTAGCAAGGTCAGCTTATTTATTTATTTAAGCCATAAACATCTTAAACCCACTTACTAATGATAAAGGCACTGAAGACAGTGACTGAGCAAACATGCATTGTACGGCATGGCTAATTTACTAGGCTTGTATTGCACAGTGTGAAAAAAGTTCCTTTTTAGACGACAGCTTCCAGAATCCCCCAGACCAATGGCCCCATTCTAAAAGCGGTAGTCCAAACAAGTAATACTTCTATGCTCTGTAGGCCACATGTATCCTGATTCCACCACTATTGCACAGGTGGAGACACTGCTATTGGCCTGAAACTTCCATTAGCTAATGGTAGAGAATGCAAGGACTCACAGTCTAATGACATCCAAAGGGCCATGTTTGGTATTATAGAGTTCAAAGCAACAATATAGGGTTTATTCCCGTCCAAACTTTGATCAGAAATAGCATCACAGCATTGCTGCATTATCAAAATGTGCCAGAAGGGGGCAGTGGGGAGAAAGTCACCTACCTGTCCTCCAGAGAACAGTATCGTAGAAGAAAGAAAATTCCATCTCGGTGTGATGTTCCAGGGAAGCCCACCCTCTAGGTGCGGTCACATAAATATAGGACACATAGAGTGGAACATGGACTGTCAGGAAGGACTGTGCTGAATCTCGAACCTAGAAACATGGGCAGAGAGAAAGCAGTTATGATAGCTGCATTAAAGAGTCATGTGGCACCTTGAAAAGTAAGTTTCATTTGGTGTAAGCTTTCGTGGAATGCAGTCCACCTCATCAGATGCATAGAGTGATGCCTGAACAGGCTGGTATTTCTACATTTGCTAAATATGTGCAAACCCTGATCATCATCTTAAAAGTGGTTGTTCAGCAAACAGTAATTGGGAGGTGACAAGAACATCCCCTGAAAGATAAGCAGATTCACACAGGTACAGTGACCAAAAAAAGTCTTGTCCAGTTCGACTCTCAAGGGTATAATGTACCTGTTAAAATAAACATGAATGCTTCTACCTTTCTTCATTTCTGTTCCTATAACACACTTCAATCCAAGCATGTGTATAAATATCATCATCATCACTCTTTATTATGGTCACAGACCAGCAAGATTTTAAAAAAAAACAACAGAAAATAAAGGGGAAAAAAACACTCCTATATGTAGCATATAAAACCTTCTTTCAGGGTGATTTCAACATTTCCAACAGTTCTCATAGCAATCAACAAAAATTTAGACACCCTGTCAGTAATCTAAGTAGACGCACCCTCTAAGCAGGGCAGTAACAAATCTGTGAGGCTACCGTGCAGAGAGACACCTATTAGTGGAGAGATTAGCTTCTTTCTACAATCATCATACATTCTGCAGTGAAAAATAACATCCTCAACTGATTCAATACTCCCATTTCCAGAAGGACAAGCTCGATCATTAAATGGAATTTCCCTAATTAACCCATCTAGTAGAGCTGATGGCAATACATTGAAGCGAGCGAACATGAATGCTCTCCTATACAAGATGGAAGGCCCAAGAGTTTCCTTAAGAAGAAAGATTGAAGATTTTGATGTGGGCATTGAATCCCAGTATCCAAATAGGGATGCCATAAATAAGTTGGGCCAGAGTCTTGGCCGTATAAATTTGAATAGCAGACCTCCTTGCATGTAGAAAAACCTTAGGATCTGCTGCTGACTAGAACTAGCTGCATTAGTCACCTGCCTACGCTGTTCTACCCAAGATCCCATGTTCTGCAGTTGTAGGAACATTGCTAGTCTTTCAGTTTCACAAGAGTCTTTGTTTGGTCATAACAGACTAACATGGAAACGCAAGCTCCATGTACCGGGTTATTTCCTTTTGACACAGATGAACAGTGAGGGAACAAAAGCTTGGAGGCAACGATTTGCGCTTTGTCAGTGACAAAGCCAATGAACTCATGTTGTGCTGAGGCAGAACTTTGCAACTGCCAAGTCAAAGTGGAAATAACTTTCCATTTACACTCTGTCTTGTACTTCCACTGAAGACTTCCATAACACCCTTTAGCACAATTCCTGTGCTACTGAGCTATCTTTTCCCATAGAGAGAGAGAGAGCGAGAGAGCAGAATTCAGAAGCTATCACACAGACCTTGAGCCCTTCCATTTCCTTTACTGCCAATTAATAAAGAGAGCACCGCCAGGAGCCAAAGTGCCCTTTTATCTTCCCCTCATTACAGATCATTATTATAATTGAGGTGACTAGCGGAAAGGTTCTTCACAGCTATTAATATTACAGGGCAAATTTGGTTTCTTCGTTCCTTGATATGGTTGAGCCTCCTGCTTAAAGCCAAGATGGGAGCTGTGTCTCTCATCACCTATGCCAGCCCTTCCATTACTCGGAGTGAAGTACCTGTCCCAGGTAGGACAGGGCAAGGCAGACCACCTCCCAACTCTTTCACCATTTGGACTTTCTGTGCTGTTGGAGGTCAGACACACACAAGCCACCCAACCTATCCTGGGCCACTTAAGCTAGCCTGTTACCTCATTATGGACACTATCCCATTGCCAGCGTTGAATCAAGACAGAAATGATTGTCTAGTCCAGTGATCCCCAAACATGGGTCCCCAGATGTTCTTGGATGAAAACTTCCAGAAACCTTCTATACCAGCTGTGTTGGTCAGGATTTATGGGAGTTGTAGTCCAAGAACATCTGGGCCCCCCAAGGCGGGAACCACCGGTCCAGTCAGCTTCTGTACATTAACCAGGGAGAGCCCATGATCTTCTCCTTCATCTGAGACAGCAAAATATATTTTAAGCTGGCGCCACCAGAGACATTTGAACTTCCTCAAAATTAGTGTCTTCCTTTTTCCCAGCTGAGAGTCATCTGAAGTGGCCCCACACAGGGAACACTTACCTGGAAGTCGGCAGTGACTGATCCCCCACAGACATCGATTAATTCTGTCATGTCATAGTAAGCATCGAAAGTCCAAATGCAACTCTTCAGGTTAAGATGTTTGTAAAGCTGGATAGTCTTGGGTTCTCTCACGCTGGGATCGAACTGGTATGCCCGATCATAGCCAGGCCCCAGAACGAGACTATCATAGCTCACTTCATCTAGGAATCCAGCTTCTGGGATGGAAGGAAATAAGAAGACATTGAACTTTGTCTACTTTGAAAATAACTTGAGTCTGGAAAAGTCAGCTTTGGGGGCTACGACCCCCCATCCCAAATGTCCCAGCATAGCCAGCAGCCATCATGGCTGGGGGATTTTAAAACTTGTGTCCTAAAAAGTAAATTTCCTGAATTCTATGCTTAAGCTACATAAAGATCTGCCACTCAAATACATTTCATAGTGGGAAAGGTGGATGGATATTTGTTATTTATAGTGATGGGGCCAAGCTGCTCACTGAACTCCTGGATGCCAAGAGTAGTTGATCAAGCATTCAGCCCTTTTAGATGCACCGCAATCCCTGGTCAACCCTCCTAAGACAGGATGCTTTGGGTTCTTCACTGTCATCAATGTGCAACTGATAATGCAAAGGCATAAATCTAATCTGACTCTCTTAAGAGAAGAGACTCGTGGCCATGATCAGGCACACAAGCTGTCCATGTGGCCATCTATGGTATTTATGCACCATCTTTCCATGTCAGAGCAAGAGGAATGTCCTTAGGAACAACAAACTTTGTGTTCTGTAAACTACAGAAGAGTGTACAAGCCAAGTCTCTGAAAGGACTCTCATCACAAAGCTTAAAAAGGAGGAAAGAGCTTGCCCACATGTTAAAAACTTGTATTTTGGTAATCCAAAAAATACAGAAGGGCATGCTCAAGACCTCTTACATTTGAGGCACCAGTATCAAGGTGTCCTGAGTTGTCGATCATTTTTAAAAACAGGAGTGGTGGCTTGTTGGATCCGACCATGATCAAGCTAGGATAATATTCTTTGCAAGAATCCCAGGAACTGAAGCCACGAAGCAGCTGCTTGGAAATCCGCCCCAGCAAATAAACCACAATCTGCTTTCTGCCAAATTCCAGCCTTTGATATATCCGTGCAAGGCTCCTAATGAATCTGTGCTTTAATCTACTTTCTAACACAGGGACTCATTTTTAAAAGAGGAAAAATGAGCTGATGCTTGATCATACAACAAAGGAGCAGCTGACAAGAATCCCACCTGAAAGAGAGCCTTCTAAAACGTTGACTCAGCAAAAGAAGTCGGGAGTTTACCATAAGGTGATCTGCAACTCTTTTCAATAATATGCTTCTGCTTGCTTGGGGTAGGGATGGCTGGGTTTTTTTCATCTGCCTTTAACACAGGGACTCATTTTTAAAAGAGGAAAAATGAGCTGATGCTTGATCATACAACAAAGGAGCAGCCGACATGAATTCCACCTGAAAGACAGCCTTCTAAAATGTTGACTCAGCAAAAGAAGTTGGGAGTTTTTTCACCAGCCTCACTTTGCAAATGCTGTAGACCTAAATCCAATGGGTAGTCCAACTAGAGCAGAGCCATTAAATCAGTAGAAAAATAAACAGTAAGAGCTGAATTATCAAATTCCCACTGATTCGATGTATCTGCTCCAGCTGAGATTAAAAACTGGCTTTTGACCATGGCAGACCTCAGGAAATTTCTCAAGACATTTTCTCCTCCTCATATACATTGATGCAGCCAAGCACCCATTCAAAGTAGGAGTGGACTTCAGAGCTAGGGATCCACAACATGAAATTACAGAATCATTCTTCGTGTTTGCTTGCGCTTTAAGCCATAGCAATAACACTCCTTCTCAATAATAGTGTCGCCATGTTTTTTTGAAAAAAGGATATTTCTGTTTTGCAATAAATTACAAATCTGAACTACAAAAGGAATTGCTATTTTTATGGAGATTGAGTCCAACCAACTCAACTGCAATATTTCATAGTTTTGACACTTATGGTACATTGCACATATAATTCAAGAATGCTTGTAAATATACCAGTGTCCTTCTTGGAAAAATGTGAGCTTTTTGTTTCTACCCCAATGGGACTTGGGTACTTTGACGGAGTGATTGGTGGGATGTAAAATACGGAAGGCTGAGAATTTCTGGTCCGACTGGCTTTCACTACAGAGGCAAGACTTTGAGGACGTTAGCAGAGAAACTGCAGCTCAATGAGCCTTTGAGCCACTGCGCTGCAAATGCTCTAAGGCAGTGGTCCCCAACCTTGGGCCTCCAGATGTTCTTGGACTTCAACTCCCAGAAATCCTGGCCAGCAGAGGTGGTGGTGAAGGCTTCTGGGAATTGTAGTCCAAGAACATCTGGAAGCCCAAGGTTGGGGACCACTGCTCTAAGGTATTATTACCTGAGATGCCCTTAAGGTCTTGGACACTGACTAGGTTGGAACAGACATGCTGGTGCCTGTAAATGGACTCCGACAAGAGGAAATGCAGGTTGTGGAGAGGCATCGTAGAGATGAGTGGAAGCATCCCATCTTGGTGAGGGATCTGCACTGAGATATGGATCCTAGTACAGAAAAAAGGGACAGAAACAGAAGATTGGCCAGAGGAACTGGAGGGAACACATGGCTATATTGCATGTAGATTAGGCTCTGATGCAGTAGACAGAACACTTGAGCACATGTGTCTACTCGACAATAGTTTAGTCTCCTTAGAATCAATACACACAGTTCAGAACCACACGTACAACAATATTTTTCAGGTTGCTAGTCTGGGCATGAATCCAATGCTGTGGTAGTGTCTGGCCAGTCATACGATGGAACGTCCTCCCGTAGCCTACTGTGCTGATTGGAAAGCCTTTCCCTGAAGGGTTTGAGTGAGGGTCCCTGGAGATGCAAGTGACGCCTCCTGGTTCTGTTAATGAAAACACAACCCCTTTCCATTGGAGCTGGTAACTCCCATGTTGTAGGGTGGTGGTGGTGAATCGGCTCCTGGTTTTAGACTGAGTTTCAAAGGAGCTGTCCAGGGTGCTGATTCTATCTTAGGGCCAATGTTCAGAACCCTGGAGAGCTCTGGCAAAGCCCAGACCAAAATCTGGAACGGATTCGGATTCAACAGCTTTCATGATATCACCCTCCATTGCACCATGAACTTCTCTGTACAGTAGAGGAGAGACATTGAGTCCCAAGACAAGATGAGAATCTAAGGCCCATTCTCAAGGTAAGCAAACATGGAAAGGGAAGCTGCCATTAAAATCCAAGCCCCCC